ATTATTAAGAATATAATATTTACTAGAAAGTTAAGGCAAAGAGGCATTTGCCATATAATTTACTTAGTAGTTTATTATAGCCTAAGAGACCCTAGGGTAAGATCTTTATGGATTTTATTATAGGTCTATTACTATATAGGAACCTGGTAAGAGGTCCCGATTTTAATATAATTCTTATAATTATTAACTAGTACTTTAAAATAGTAAGATATATTATATATTATAAAACTATTAATTTTCCGAAGCTTACTAAGATTATATAGGAATATGTTTTCTTAATCTTTAGCTCCCCTAATAGAATTATTTCCGACCGAGAAATAGTATTTACTAGCTAGTTCTAGTCCGCTTTCTGCTTCTACTTAATATATAAATAGTATTTGAGTATAGCTTACTATTCTTAGATAAATAATTAGATAGAAAGGCAGAACCAGGCCCTGAAATATTACCTAAGATATTATTATAATACCTAAAAGAATAACTAGTTTAAGAAGTTATTTTTTGCGGAATTTATATATAATAACTCAAAATATTAGGTTTTATAAAATATATCTTTCTATATATATTATAAATACTATCCTTAACTTTTATAGAATCCTAAAAACAGGATTATAAAAAAAGTACTAGCTATATATAAAAGGCTAAAAACCCTTAAAATAGAGTAGAGAAAGCTTAAGAATTTATAATATTATATATAAAATAACCGGGAAACTTACTATAATAAGTACTAGTTAGCTAAATATTACTTTAAAGAAGCCTAGGTAATACTATTAATAAGAAATATTAAACTTAAGGCAGGAAAGCTTAAGCCAAAATTTATAGGTTTATTTAGGATCCTTAAATATATTAGTAATTCGGTATATAAGTTAGAACTACTAAGTATATATAATTATTTATATCTAACTTTCTATATTTCTCTTCTTAAAAAGTATATAGTAAAAAAGGGTTAGGAGCTATACTTATACTTTTCTAGAAAACTTCCGGAATTAGCAAATAATAATAAAGAATAAGAATAGGAAATAGAAGCTATTATTAATTACTAATAAGATAATAGAAGCAAGAAATAATAGTATTTAATTAAATAGAAAGCCTAGCCTAAAGATTATAATACCTAGTTACTTACTTTTCCTAATCTTGAAAATTCTAAGGAATTTCTGAAATCATATAACCAAAACTATAACTTAGAATCCGAAACTACCTTTTAATAATCTCTTAAGATTAAAAAGAATTCTGAACTACTAAGAAAAAGGCCACTTAAAAGAAAGAAAGAACCTAGATAGCTAAGAAAAGGTCCGGAATAGTAATAGAGATACTCTTTCCCTAGGTTTTTTATTTATAAAGGTTTTCTAGGGTTTTATTAAGGCTTATGAAAATTATATTTAAATTATTAGAAAAAGGGTTTAGGATTAAGAAAGATTTATTATAGGTAGACTAGCTATAGGTATCTCAAATAAATAAACTCTAATTCCTATAAATTTCTAATTCCTAAAGTAAGAATACTAAATACCGGCTCTATTTAGGACTTAGTAAAGAATTAGCTAATACTTTCCGGAATCCGCTTATCTCTTAACGGGATATAGTTATACTATAATAATATTAGTATTAAGGATATTAAGAGAAGTAAGTAAGGAACTTATAATAGCCATATATATCTTATAAAAGGCCCGAACTTCTAAAGTCAGGTCCCGAATAGCCATAAGTATTATATTATTAGTACTTAAAGTACTAGTAATAAACTACTTAGTAATCTCGGTAATAAGCTTAGTAATAAGGTTAATATCTTAAAAATAGATATTATAGTATTTCTTTAAGGAATTAGTAAGTACCTAAGTATATTAGAAAAAACTTATCTTTAGGATACTAACCCAAGTAATATTATTATCTGCCTTATTAAGATAAGAAGAAGAATTCTAAAGCTTATTAGTATTCTTCTAGTCTTTAAAAACCTAATTAATAGTATTATTCTCGTTAGTATAATACTATTTAGGATATACTTTAAGAAATTTCTTAAAAGTTATAATAGTATCTTCCCAGAACCAGTAAGCCTCTAATAAGTAATAAGAAATCTGAAATTATATTAGCTTTAATAGATATTAAAGCTAAAGAACTTACTAATATATAAGACTTAGAACCCTTATTATAACGGTTATAATTCTTCTTGCCAGGTACTATAATATATAAGATAAAGGAATTAATAAGCAAATACTTAAAATATTTCAAGTATCTACTAGTAATAGAAAAGAAGGCTACGAGGTTACCTTTGTACTTATTATTATAGGGACAAATAATGAAGCCAGAAGAAGATATTATGGAATTAATTAAAAATAATTAAAGAAGACTTAGAGAAGGGCAAAAAAAGAGGCTAAAAGGTAATAATAGAAAAAGTTATATATATAGTTATTAGAAAGGAAGAAAGTATATAGTAATACAAAGAGGTCCTTTTATAGAGGTAAAGAACTACCTGGATTAACTACTAGTTTTCGCACTAGTCCTAATTAGAAACTAGTATAACTAATTAACGTATACTTCCAAGAGCCCGCAAATAATCTCCAGGACCTCAGAAACATTCGCATGGGTTTCTTATACGAATATTTATTAAATACTTTCCATATAGCTATTCAGATTATTCTAATACGAGATCTAATAGGTAGCATTAGTTTCATAGGGTAGCGCCTTGGCACTTTGAATCGAGCCAATTAGAACGCTCAGATCCCAAACGAAATCGTGATTACCGGCTAGCCCCTATACCTGGGGTGCAATTACCCTTCCTTCTCGCTTACTCAGCCCCGATCTGATTGGACGATTTTTACGTCCATCGTCCAGATCGCATTAGCAAAACCACCTCCCAAGACACTGGAAGTTTACGTCAATTGAATGTTTACCAGGATGGATTAATGGATCTTGGGGACAAGATCCTAGGAGGGGGGCATAGTTGTGATATATGCAGGGTCGTACGTGACTTAAGGGCATGTGACGAACCTCGGATATCGCGGGTGTCGATCAGGGAGTTCGGCAGCCCTTCGATATCCCAACTAACCACTGTTTATATTATATGTATTAGGCTTATAAATTACTAATTATATGTATGCCATTAGAGCCTCCTATTTAGAGGGGGCTTCCCTGGACCTTACAGGAGGGACAGAGATTAGTTCTGTACTGAATTTAATACTGTGGTTTCACAACACACTAATTCATTCTATTGTCTTATTACCTACTAACAAATACCTCACAATATTTAGGAACTTATTAATAAAGAAGCTTTTAATTTCTTGCTTTATTAATAATTATAATTAGTATATAAGAGATATAGATCTTATAAATTAGTTTAGAGAAATATATAAAACCTATAAGCCTATATTCCGGAATTAGTAGCCCTTATTTTACTAGTTAATTAATTTAGTTTATATAAATAGTTACTAGTTATATTAATTATATATAGTAAATAAATATTTCTTTATATATTTATAATTTCGAATTAAGCTTTATTATAAGCTTTTAGAGTTTTTAGAGAAAGTAAAGCTATATAGCTTATAAATAGGGCTAAGAAATAAAAGAGTATTTAATCTTAAAGCCCTGTATTTATATTATTAGAAATAATATTTTAGAGATATATATATATAATATTTATATAAATAAAGATATTAGAAAGTTCTTAGGAAAGCTATAGAAAAGAAGATAAAGCATTTAACTAGAGGCTATATATTTTATAATATATATCTATATAAGATAAAGAAGTACTAGCTATAATTTTATTCTAGTAATATAGATTACTAATAAATTTATATATAAAGATATATAATTATTATACTACGAGAGCCAAGCGAGCCCCCCTCCCTCCCTATAGTACGGAAAGCACCCTTGCTAGCACTGGACAGTTTATAACAAATAAAGAGATACTCGTTTGGCCGGGCTTATCTGGTTCTCGCTTAGTACGTTTACTAGGTAAGAGAGGGCAATACGTAAAAACCAGTAATACGCAAATTTTTCCCTATATATATAGAACTATGAAGTTTTAGCCTACCATAACCCCTATTTTTCCCATAAATCATAATTAGTAGCCTTTATTTTCCAATTAATTATATCCTAGTAATTAGCTTCAAATCTTCATATTATTTTTTTATACTTATTTCTCCAAGGCTTACTTAGCCTAGTATGCCTCATATTAACTATCCGAGCTTTATTTTTATTATCTGCCTCAATATCCTTTCTTTCTTACTCCATAGTAATCTCCCTATATTTCTGAATAATCTTACTAGCTCCTTCTTTCCTAGCTAAATACTCCTTCTCTATAAAGCCCAGATCTAGTATCCTTTATCTAGCGAGAGTACTAGCTAAAATTAACCTCTCTAATACCGCTTCCACTTTTTCCTATATACGTAAAACTAAAGAAGTAATAGGTATACTATTCATTAATTACATTATACGATTTTTAATATAATTAACGCCTCGTTTTCGCTATATAATATTAATAGCATAGGCCAATCTGCCTAGTCTTTGTGGGTAGGAGTACGGGATAGCGGGATAGTAAAACCAGGAAAAGAAGGTAAAATTAGTAAAGAGTACTATAGAGAAGAAGTTAGAGTTTGCAGACGCTTTAAAAGCTCTTTATACTTCTTTATTTTCTATAGAACTCTAAGTGGATTAAGGGATATTAATCCAGTTTTCTTAAAGAAAAAGATTATAATACGCCGGCTCTTGAAAACCCTATCCCAAAACCTCTGGAAAATCGCAAAAAAGTCTATCTTATTAAACTCCTCTATACTATTAAAAATCTCTCGACGAAGCTCCTTTTAAAACCAGTATTTTAAAGATTAGAAGATAATAACGTTAAGTAGTTAAAGAAGATAAGTTATATATATAGGTAATCTAAATAGTCAAATGTAATTCTCCTAGTAAAGATATAAAAATTCGTCAGATAAATAAGAACCATATCTATCGAAAATCAAGATCCTATAGGCACCCGTTTATAAAGGAGAATAGTACTTAATAAAGTACTTAAGATATTATAAACCCAGGCGATTATTTATAAAACTAGTAGGAAAGTATATAAATTCGATATCACCATTAAGTATCCGTAAAAAATGTCCGCGAAAATAGTATACTCTCTTAAAAATAATATATATAGGAACCTTCCTTCTACTATAATTAATTATAGCTATAACTATAACTAATTCTCGATTATCTAGATCAGTATTATATATTACTTCGCAATCCAGTAATATATATATAATATTCCCCGTTACTACTCTAATTTGGAAGCCACTCTTATTAAAATTGGATATATCCTCCGTATAAATACTTCATTTTCTCCTATACTTGTCAAAATTAGCAAAATGCTCCTTAATATCCTCTATAATATATATACTCAGACGTTTTGTAGATATTAGTTTCTCTCGAATTTACTTTAGGAATTCGTAATTACGGGCGATCCAGGCTTTTGTCTATCTGCGAGATATAGAGAAATCAATATTGCCAGTATTATAATAAACTAGCCTAGAGGCACCTGTTTAAATCGCTTCTAGGTTAGGATTTCGCCCGGAGATATAGAGTATTAAGAGATAATCTCTTAAAGACTTATCTTGTAATACTGAGAGTTTTTTATTATATCTACCCCGAGAGTTATTTATAGGATGACCTCTTTGCCGGGCCATTAATTAATTATACGGGGCCCCAAAATGGGCTGTAGCCTTCGTTCCTTTGAGCCTAGGATCTCGATCCATAGCCTCAGAGGCCTTAGCAATTCGCTCTTTAATAGCTTCTGCTTTGGGTGGCATTTTGGTGGGTTGAAAAGTCGATGGTGGGGGGGCGGGGAAAAATTTGCGTATTGCTGGTTTTTATGTATTGCCCTCCCTTACCTGGTAAGCGTGCTAAGCGAGAACCAGGTGAGCCCGGCCGAACGAGTAACTGCTTTTCCGCTGCTTTTAGTATAAGCGTGGCAGCCCTACTGTGGCTGAAAATTTTGCAGTAATAAAGGCGTGACCCCACTAGTAATGGTCCAGCCCGGCCGACAAGCAGTGGATCGATATCGTCTGACTTCGGTATTCCTCACAATATACCAGTTCCATAATCCGCAACGCCGGCGAACGGTACAAAGGAGTACAGGCAATAATGCGGTTGGCCCGTTACAGGCACGCCGTCACTATATTGCATTGTCGCAGGATGGCGCAGAGTATTACAGACTTCCGCTATGCCCCAAACTATGAACTTTGCCTATCTTATTATTAAGAGTATAAGGAACTCTATAGCTAATATAAGAGTACAGAAGAATACTATAACCGGCTAGTTAGGCCCGAGAGGGGACTCAAAATAGAGGAAATACAAGATAAGGTTATATAGGATAGGAAGACCCTAGATCTGAGGAACCAGGTAAATCATTATTTCTTTAGCTAATAAGTGGGGAATCAGGTATATATTTAGTAGATCTTAAAGCTAGAGGATAAGATTAAGGTTCTAGAGGGCAGCTTCAAATCGGAAGACGATTATAGTAAGTTACTACTACTGCCAGAAAATACTAAGGCGAATAGTCGAGAGCTTAGACCTGAGTAGTAAGTTTACTAATTACTCCTCTCTTCTAAAATACCTATATCTGTTCTAGATTACTTACTAGTAGATAGTATTATCAAATTAGCAAAGCAAGAGGTATTTATCTTTAGTAAAGTACTTATAATAAGACTATATAATATTGCCCTATTCCTTAATAATTCCGCTATAATATTCAAATAACCAGGATACGAGACAAGAAGAGAGCTAGATAAAGGTAATCGTATTATTTGCTTTATTTTTCGGAAGTTTTTGCTTTAAAAAGCAAATACTAATAATACCTTAGCTAGGGCAAATAAAGTAAAGAGTATTAATATCTTTCTGAGATAATACTTCCTATCTGAGTTATAGGACTATATCAAGTTCTTTAAGCTATTTAATAGAATAAATATACTATACTTCCTCTATAATACTATTTGTAATTATCTTATCTTTTCCGGTACTTTACTAATAGTTATTCTCGGTAGGATTATTACTACTAAAGAGAAATAATATAAGATAACTATTAAATATTAGGATATCTTATACTCCTACTTTTTAGATATTATAAAATAGTATAATATTAGGTAATTCTATATTAGATCCGAAGATATGTCTTTTATTAAGAGATTAGTTATATTATATCGGTATAGTAAGGCAAGAAACGGCGAGTCTAAATAGCTAGACAAAAATAATAATATATTCTAAGAATATATCTTTATTATATTTTAAGGTTTTATTAGTATTACTAAAGATTACTCAGATTTATCTATAGCTCTAATTACTACTATAAATAGAACTATAATAGAGAGATACTTATATTACTATCTAGTAGGGAAAATAATAAAGAATAAGCCTTTAGCCAAGAACCTTATTAGGGAGCTAGTATATTGGGTTACTTATTATATTATAGTCATTTATAATATAGAATTAATTAAATACAATTATAGAGAAATTATCTTTTAAACTAATAAGTTAGAGGAGAATTTATAGATTATATATATATAATTAGTTATAGTTAGCGAGAATTTGCAGGATACTTTATAGAAGATTAAATAGTCGCTTAAGGATATTATTTCCGATCTAGAACTAATTCAAAAACTAAGAAACAGAAATATAGCCAGAGACTACTACAAGTTTATTATTATTAATAGAAATCCAGGGAACATATTTACTATCCTAGATAATATAGCAGATACCCTAATATAGCTTGCAAGTAATCTTCTAGTATAGGAGATCTTTAATAAAGCTATCCAAAGCTCGTTTCCTATAGATTAATAGTACTAGTAATTAGAAGCCATTACCTTGGAAGTCTTTTCTATAGTAAACCTAAATATTTCTAATATTTATTATAAGGGCAGCCATATACGGTTATAGAATATACTAGATAACGACCCTAATTTCTTTTATAGTAAACCCAAATAATCAAAATCAGATCTTCGAATTATAGCTAAGATTTTGGCCAAGATAGAATCCTATAGGCTTATTATATTACTAAAAACATTCCAGCTACTATATACTTGCCTAATTATATTACAAGATATTAATAGGCTTAAAGATCTTTACCTTAACTCCTATCTCGGGCTATTCCCCCCCGTTTATTAATACGAGTAATTAATTAATTACTTCTAAGCAAGGAGCTTGATTTGCTAATAAAAGAGCCCGATTTTAAAATAATATATAAATTTCTAATAAAGAATAAAGGCTAAAATTTAATTAAATAAAAAAATTAATGTTTATAAAAGACTTAAATAAATTTTTCTTATATTAAATTCTATTAAAGATTAAAATATATATATAATTTTATATTTTTAAATTAAAATTATAATAAAAAGGTTTTAGAATTCTAATAAAAGACTAAAGCTAATATTACTTAATTAATATAATTAACTAAATTATTTCTAATACATTATATTAATAGGATTTTAATAATTTATGGGTTTTAAAATATTTTAGTATTTTAAAACTTTGCTCGTATTCGACCTCGTATTTATAAACCGGAGTTCCCTTAAGCACGCGATTAAGCAATCGGGGCCCGCGATTAGGCAATAGGGACCCCGATTAACTAATCGCTCGTATTAACAAACGGGGGGGGAACAGGGCCAATAGATAAGAGTATATATTACTAAAGTTATCTAATATTACCAGAACTATCTCTTTCTATAGAGAGCCTCTATAAATTCGTACAAATATTCAGAGCCGGCCACCCGGATACCGTCTTTGCCAAAGGCAAAATATATACCTACTACTATACCTGGCCAATACCGGTAATAATATATCGCATTTACAGTATTCCCACCTTCCGTACTATCGAAGGCCACCTCTTTCGATAGAACGTTCTCCCCTTTAACTCGCCTCTATCTTCCCGTTTATGGCAGTATTATATTTACTATAAGATAAACAAAAGGCTCCCGTTTATTCGTTTTGTTCAGACGACCTTCGTCGTATATACCAAGAACGCAGAAGCTGCCGAGGCAAACCTGAAAGTATTGCTTGTAGCGGCTGCCAAGCATGCCTGGAAATTGTCAGTACCACCACCACCGCTATAGACGGCTGACTTTAAAAGCTTAGATCTACAGACGCTCTGGGTAGGCATTCACCCCGCAATATATAGACGGAAGGATGGTCCATATGAATTACAGACTGTTTTGGAGGCTGAGCCTGCAGGGGATATCTCCACATATAGCCTGTAGTAACAGTGACTGAATATGACTTTAGCAACGCTCCTTCTTCTTATGAGCGGTTTACTACTAGCCCTGCGCTATGCCCGTTGAAAGACGCTAGCTTTATCATTACCTTGGAACCGTAAGTGTGGTTCTTGCAATATGAGTGGTGATGTCTTGTTCTGTAACGCCATATTGGGATTGTCTCGTCGCTGGAGTCCCCGACCACTAACCAACCAAATATGGTGAGGCATAGAGTTCAATCACGTTACAGTACTTGAATAAGTTTTCCTTTTCCCAAGGTTCAAAATACGTACACGAATTGGTACGTTGATGACATTCGTACCTCGCTCCCTTCCCGCACGATCTAGCTCTAAAGCTCAAGACTCATCTTTACACTGATCCTCGTCGGGGATTGTGAGTTTCAGTCTAAGGTTAACTCTTCTTGGTTTGGGTCTCGCTATCATCTCTATCTCGTCCTGAAGGATTCGGAATCCCTCCTCCTTACGGCCCCCGATGAAAATGGATCCCCCAAGAGAAGTTCTTGAGTATTTGTCAGAGATCTGAATGTATTTTCAGGCCCATCCCGGGTGAACATGCAATATATTCTTTTAAGTTAGGCGGTGATCCTTTTGAAATCCGATTCGTTACTAGAATCGATTGCTGCCCGGATTCCTTTAGGCGAGAGGAATTTGTTCCAAGTAGTATCCTTGTTACAGAGCTCAGGGAGTATATCTTCAAGTCCTCTAGCAAATAGGTCTCGGAGGTTAACATTTATGACCAAGTCTTCTTTTGGTATGATATATAAGAAGACTGCTTCTGAGTCGTGAAGGTACTCAAGTTTAGGCGAATTTAGTCAATCGCATGTTTCCTTGCTCAAGCGAAAACAGAGTGGAGGCCTTCGTGCCATCTCAACCAACTCTCTTGTATCGTAATACCCGGAACTATGGAATATAGATATGAAAATTTTCCCTGGGTCCCGAATTATAGAGTTCCCATTATACCACTCCATAAAGGCCTTTTTCAAAGCTCGAATGGGGTCACTGGTAGTAGATATTAAGGCTATATTCTTTTTGTTGCAATCGTCCGAATGGAACTCTGCAAAGTATAATACAGTATCCGTTTTGGAGCTAAGAACCCATTTGGGATTCCCAGAGAGAATATTGCCATACTCGTCGATTTTCACGCATGACTTGTCACTCCAGGGCCTATACCACCACTTTCGCAGCTCTGAATTCGAAAGTAACGGCTTGGCTAATTGGCTTGATTCAGAAGCGGTAATAATATTCGAAAGCTGTCGTATTGCATCCGTCAAGCTTCCAATAGCATCCGCCTGCTTGTTTATTGCTTCAGCAAAGGTGCTTATGCTAGTAGCAAAGAGGCGGCCGCGTTCGGTCTCTATTTAGAGCTTCTAGAGATAGCTGAAACTATTCAAGTGGTATCAAAATCGGGTCGCTCGCAGCATTGATATGCTCACAGTGCTCGGTCTGTAAAGGTTAAAAAGGACGAAAAAGGTTAATGTTGTCGTCTGGAGTTCAGCCTTTCGTTCGACTCCTCTCAGGCAGGCTTGGCAATGATTGGCGTTTTTGGTTATCGATTATAATCGATGCCATAATCGTAAGGTATCAATTCAATCGATTATAAGCGAGCTAATCCCTGCCACTACCATAATATTATCCCTAATACCGCGCAAAACGTGCATTCTAGAGTGTAAATTAGGTGCTCTGGAGAAGCTTATATAAGAGTGAGATTTAAACTAGAAGCTAGGCTTCTAAATATATAATATAGATATATAAAAGGCATTAAATAAAGAAAAGAAAAGAGGAATAAAAGAGAGGGAAAATAAATAAAAATAAAAAATTCTATAATATATAATATATTTTTAAGCCTTAAAAAGTTTTTAATAAGTATTATAGTTTAAATAAGTTATTAAAAGTAAAGTAAATATTAAAAAGAAATAACTAAAAAGCTAGTTTTATTTAAATAATAAATAATATAAATATAATACTTTTATTTTATTTTAGCTCTTATATATAATATTCTTATTAAATTATTAAATAATATATAAATTTAAAAAGCTTTTTATAAGTTAATAAATAAATAATTTATTAATACTTTAATTATAATATAAAAGAATATATTAAAAAAAAGCTTATTATAAGAGCTTATTATAAAAAAGAATTATATTAATTTATATTAAGTTTTTATATATATATAAAAATATATCTAAGAAAATTAATTAAAGGCTTTTTTTATTATATGACTTTTTTATAAGCTTTAATAATTATATATTTTTTAATTAAATATAATAAAAAACGCTTATTTTAATTATATAATAAATATTATATATTAAGCTTATAATTAATATAATATATAATATATTCTTTAAAAAAAATTAAATACTTTAAATACTTTAAATAATCTTGTATAAAAGTAATAAGGAGTATTAATAATAATAAAACTAATTTTATTATATATTAAAGTAAAAAGAAATATTAACTTAAGTAATTGTGACGGCATGGCAGGACCATACAATCTGCCGCACTATCACATGATAGGAAACCTAACTGAAACAAGCAAGGGGACGGCAAAGGGCTATTAAAGGTCGAGGCATCTCCCTTTCCTTTGCTCTTTAGCTTAGTATTTGCAATACATGAGATACTCTGAACTCTGTGCCCTGGCCATTGCATTGATCTCGCCGTCACAGTAATACTTTACCCTTTTTTTTTTAGAACTAAATATATAAAGAAGCTCCGGAGCCGGAAAAACAGATCTTCGATAAAATCACTACTTTCCCTACTATAACTACTAGATATTATCCTGGTCTTTTTAGCTTATAGACCACATATGCATAGAAAATGTCAAGTCTTCTTCAACGAGCATCTCCCACAATCCTGGCAAGATAGTCTCATAGCCTGCTGAACGCCATTTGAGTTCATAATGTCCCTTCGCAACTTCGGTGCCAAGTACCTCCAGGGGCTGAAATATCTCCTTGATGAACCACTCCATGTCCTGCAAGACCACGACAGGGGCAATTAGAAATCTATCGACTGGAAGTAGAGGTACGGGCGTTGTTATCTTACCGTCCATTTTGTATAGATTTCTGACGGTACCATAAATCTTCTCCCAATGCAATCTATAAACTTGATTATTTTTTTTCCCTGGAGAAACGGATGTTCTGTCGCGGATTTAGTGATCTCAGGGAGAGCATTCTGATGCTGCACTATAGTTTTCTTTGGCAGAGGTGGAAGTGGATCCTGCAAATTTCCTACATTCACTTCGGGAGTTGGCGGTTGTGGTGGCGAGACTACTCCCTTCTTTAAAATCAATTGTTGGTTTTGTTGTTTACCCGCTGTCTCCCATTCGTGAGGCAGCACGGCACTGCCATCAAGCCTTATCGGCCCGTACGTTTCAGTACCATCGCAGCCCTTAAGCGTTGAACAATAGGGAATAATGTGTTGAGAAATCAGCAGTTGTAAACCCTATAGTAATGTAAAGGTTAACAAAGCTTACTATTCTAAAGCTTGAAGAATACTTACATTCCATGTCGAGCAGAGATCGAAGGGGACAACGAAGTACACCTCAAGCTCGTCGCCCAGCATAACTACGACCCTGACATGCTTCTTAGTGGCCCCAGGAGGCTTTTCCGAGTGACTAGTCCCACAGCCCGCTAGCAATTCTACTACTTCCTTGTGGTTGCCTAAATCTGCTCGATCCAGCGCCGTTCGTCCTTTGTCGTCAGGCATGTCAGATTCCGCACCATTTGTGGTTAGTAGCTGAACAACGTTCTTATGTCCACTCCAAGCGGCCCATGATAACGGCGATCGGCCTCTGTTATCCTTGGAATCGATGTCCACTTTGTCGATATCTAACAATTGATGCACTATCTTCGCAGCCCCGTACATGGAAGCCCAGGACAAAGGTGTTTGACCATAGTTGTCTTTGGTATCGACATCCAAATCTTCAAGCTTGTTGAATAACTTTGCCACCACCGTTTCGTTTTCAGATTGAACGGCACAGCATAGCGGAGTCTGCCCAAGTTTGTCCTTGCAATTTAGCTCAACGCCGACAGTCTCTTCTGTTAGTATTTTCACTACCTCCTCATTCCCACAAGCGGCCGCTCGGTGTAGCACCGTTTTTCCACTGTCGTCCTTCACGGCAAAGTCTGCTCCACCTTCAACTAGTAAGAGCCTGAAAATATCCTCAAGTTTATTTTCGGCGGCCCATGATAGTGCTGTCCTTCCACAAGAATCCCCTGCCTCAATTTTGGGGTTCTTTTTCAACAGCAAGGAGATTATACGGGGATGCTTGTTACTAGACGCCAACGACAGCGCCGTTCTTCCATTAGCATCTTTAGCCTCGATGTCCGCACCATTTCTGAGGAGCAGCTCCACGACGCCTGAGTGGCCATTGATGACAGCGAGAATCAATCCGGTGGAGTGTGGGAAGTCAACGCAAGAAGTGCGGACATTGAGATCGGGAGGTAATTTAGCCAGGGCCTCAATAAAGCCAAAGTGGCAAGCTAAAAAGAATGCTCCGGGATCTGTTCTGGCTACATCAAGCCTCTTTCGAGGAAGAGCCTGTGGGTCAAAATGTTTGAGTAGCCTTGGTAGCTCTTTCAGCCACCTTGCTATTATTGGTGACCTGGTTCTGCACACGAAGCTGTGGAACAATGTTTTCAAATCACCATCCGCCCTACTTTCCTTGGCGCCCTCGCAGTGAAATGGCCAATATATGGCGGCATACATTGGAAGGCCGCCTTCGCGCCATTTGTTTGGAACGGTATGGAAGTCGAGCTTTGGTTGTTGTAGAATTGCTAGACAAGATACCGCAGCTTGAGTGTGAGTTTCGTGATCAGAGAACTCGTCGAACTTTGGTCCCTTAAGAAATTCCCTCACGGAAAGATGGGTAAATTGAACGCTCCCTGACATATCCGTCATAATGAAGTTGCTGCAAATCCTGTTGACTAAGGTCTTCTTGGTGACACTAGTATCCATCGTAAAATCGACCTTAATAGAGACTGCAGATATAAGCTCATCAATGGTGAAAGGTCGAAAAGACGCTAACATCAACTGAAGTGCTTTGACTGCAAGCTTTCTGAAGTTTTGATCGGCCGTATTCCTTTCGTATACTTGAAAATATACGTCATTAAGCTCGGGAACCGCAGACGACCGTTCGAGGGCAGCTAAGCGCTCTACAATAGTGTCGTGATGAAGTGGGTCGTTATCCAGGCTGAGAAAGAGGTCTAATTGCAATTCAACCCACCGAAACCTGAATGCCAAAATAGTCAGCGCACAAGCATTAAAGATTGGGAGCAAAGTTCTGAGTTCAGCCAGGCATTGAAATCTTTCTTTGGATCGAATAAAGGAAAAGTGCCACAATAGGTCCTGGGTGACCGGACAGAAGATAGATGACCTACATGCTCTGGGCCCGCCCTTCCAAGATACATCTGAGCTTCTCCGCCAAATCGTTAGTCATTTGCTCAGACTCGCCTTGAGTTCGGTGATTGATTTTGGCTCGCCGACGGCTGATCTCGTTTTGAATGAAACTTCCCATATCCTTATGAGTTTCCTCTTGCGTGATTGATATGCAGATAGCGTTTGGAAAATCAGCAGTCACTCGGTCTTCTTCACGACTTGAGATGAAAATCTTTAAGGAGTGTGCCGAGGCACACTTAGTCAGCTCGTCAGAGATCATCCTCAACGCCTCCATCAAGGAATATGGATCGCTACACTCATCAAGAGCATCAATTACAACTGTAGATGAACCGACGGTGTCGATGAGCGTAGCGAGTAATTGGGTGCAGTCTTTTTCGCTGAGAGTACTTCCGAATTTTCTGTTTATCCATTGATTTCGGACTATACCCATTTTTGAGTAGGACAATTGGGCAACGATGCTCCTGAGTATGTCGTCCGGATTTGTGCGAGAAACCCTGTTTGTATCCTTCGAACAGTAGAAGAAGGCCATGTTTTTGGGTGGTTCCTGAGACACAAGCTTTCTGATGACGAGTGACGTTAAGCAACTTTTGCCCGTGCCAACAGCTCCTTTCAGCCAGAAGACACCGCTCTCGGCCGATTCCCAATTTATGAATTGTGGGTTATCAAGTAACCAATTTCCGGAGCCCCAGTGACTCTCACCAAGCTTTTTGTCCAGAACCTATCAGAGCATAACAAGTCAGCTCTCCACGTGATAGCCTTACAATCTCGTCGTACCAGGTGATAATCGTCTTCGACTAGCACTTTCGAAACCCATGACAGAATCCTATCTCTCTCGCTGTCACCTTGTTGAATCCTTAGGAGAACTTCACCGATATTTTTGGTTTGTTGGTTCAGTGTTTCTTCGAGACTTTGCCATTTCAGATCCACCTTGGATTTCTCGCACTCGGCCGCGGCTGCCTTCACTTTTTGAAGAATGCCATTCCAGTCATCCTTTGGAGCCTATAGTCGAGCAGCAGTATCAGCGTAAAACAACCAAGTCTCTTCTATCACAATGATGAACGTACGAAACTTCGAATCAATCTTGAGAAAGTATTGTGGCCAAAGAAGCAAATTGACGTAGCCTGGTATCTTAATATCAGCGCATACAGCGTGGTTAACCGCTCGTGAACTTCTGAGACAGCATCGAGTGGATACGTTGCCTTTGCAAGATTATTTTCGAAGGCTGCATATCTCGGAATAATATCTGCCACTTCCTTTAACCCGCTGGTTGCTTGAGAGTGCTGCTTGGAGTCGTTTGAAATGACCTATCCTAGGTCAGTTATCTCAAAAACCTCATCAGAAATTCCCAAAGGATATAATATAGCTTTCCTCATGCATATAGAGAGCAACACTTAGTTTCTCCACGCAGGTCAAGGTGAACTCTGAAATCCAGAATATTCAGTAGAACCTGGTCTATACACCGCGGTGCAAATCGCCAACGATTAAAAAGTAAAAATAACGTACTGTAAGAAGCACGCAAACACCTGCCCACGGTAACCCCGCATGCACAGGATCCAGGCCAGCAATAGTTGAACCAAAGTCCTTGACCGCCAGGATAATGTTCACAATTCCGGCGATTTTTTCCCGTACATTGATCTCTTTCCCCTGAATCTTGACCTTCCATTGTCCAGACTTAAAGTATTTCAGCTTCGTGTCAACAACTTCTGACATTTGTTTGCCTGGATCCTTAATGGCCTTCGTATCTGTTGGCATGCCTAAGATCAAAAAAGTAATTAGTGCATGATTTGCCTAGGGAAACTTTCGGACTGCCGCGGCCCGATACACGCGTAAGTCAGATATCCTTACTTTGCAAAATCTCATTGTAGGCTTCCATTAGTGCCTTCGTCTCTGGATCTGCCCTCAGTTTGTCGTATGCTCTTTTCCAAAGATCTACACGCGGCGGAGGCTTCGTTTTCGACTCTGGGGGTTTCGTATCGTGTGAGGATCCGATGGCACTGTTACCGGACCGCTTGGAAGACTCAAAAGAAGCAGTGGCCATTGTTTTCGAGGTGTGCTGAGTGAGAAAACGAGGGAAGATAAGCTGCTAAAGGAATCAAGACTTTGAGGCAAGGAGGGGCCCAAAGTTTATCAAAAAATACTCCAATATGTCTCTGGACGGCAATATAATGCACAGTAAGTTCTTAGCAAATGTCTAGCAGGACATGAGTTAGTATCAGCCGGTGAGCGCCCGAGAGGCAGTGAAGACTTGCAGCGAGGTCCACGAGGGGTGTGTACGGGGTGTGTGGTTCTATAGCATAATTATTAGCAAAGCGCATGTTCCAGAAGATGTTTGTGTCCACCCTCACTCTCCGGAGTCAGCGCCTTAGTGCACGAAATAAGGTCGATCTGCTTAGCCAAAGGCTTTACCTTGTCTTCCGAATGCCTCAGGACTGCCATCGCAGCACTAGACTTCTACTCACTTCGGAGTCGGACTAGAGCTTCCCAGGCATGAGGACTGAGACTCGTGGTCGATACCCGTCGCGACGCATGTCAAAGGCGATGATGAAGTTGAGTAGAACGAAAGCTGAAGGAAGAGCGACGTCAATGAGATTCGCTTAGAGGCATATATGCGCTGGCACTGACTATGAGACGAAGTCACCTGACCTTAATTCCTGTATTTTACCTATAACTCGCTCATCAGGAAAACCTATTTTTTGCCACGGTCGGCCAATGGCGCCAGCAGGGCCAACACAGCATGTCCAAAATATTGGCGCCAGCAGTTCGCCAATGGTAGCCGAGCCTAATTAGGTCTAGCGAGGCCTAATTGGGTCTAGTGGACTCTTATCGGGCTTATCAGGGCCCCACATAGGAACACCAAAACTTTTCGCATACCCGGGCGCCTCTCTCTCTCCCCTCCCTGGTCTCTCCGTTAAGACGTGTATAGTAGGGCTCATTAAAGGGAAACCCGTAAAGTAAAACGGATCCTACTATAGCAGGACCTGGTAATATTATCAGGGATGCAGTTTAGGGACTTCTGGGTAGCATTACCTAGTAGTATGACCTAGGTAGTATGACCAGTTCCCGGTTCTGGGGACTTCTGGGGTAGCATGACCTAGTAAGTGACTATAGAAGCCGAGATCATGTCTTTTTCGTAGGGTGAACTACGCGGTTATGCAATGCACGGAAGTTCGATTTGACTCTATATATAATACGGACATTCTAGAGACCAAAAGATCGAAAATTAGCCATATAAATAATTATAGCGGGAAGACCGAAAGGAGCGATTCGGAATCTTTATACTTCCGGTGCTGATATATATAACACGCAGGCACCTGCAATTAACAAACTTCCAGACACTTTCAACTTTCTATACCATTATTAGTAATTCAGAATTCCAATATATTTTCTTTCTTTTTATTATTTCAACTCTAATCGTCCTCCCTTTAATAAACAGCAAGCATTTTTGACTCTCCAAGCAAGAAACTCTCCTGCCCTGTATATCCCATAAAAGGGAGAGGTCGGAGTAAATAAACAAAATCCAAATCTAAATCCAAATCTACCATTTGCTTTCAAGGAGGACCGGTTTAGGCCCTCCGCTCCCATGCCGTAGTTTTTGAGATACCGGGCTCCAAATTACAAATAGCTCTCAAACGAGCTTTGGTCTTGCCCTTAAAGGGTATCAAGTGGCCCGGAGAGATCTTCTCGATCTAGAACAGACTTAGGATAATGGATACTCTATAGATCAAATGAAATAACGAGAGTATAAAAAAGAAGCGAAAGAACGAGGGAATAAATAGGAGAAAGGTGTTACGATTATTACGATATACGGTACTAGTAGGGGTTAGACTAGAACTGAGCAAGGCATCTGGTATCTGAGCAAGGCATCCGGCATCTAAGCGAGGCATCTGGTATCTGAGCGTGGCATCTATAGTCACCTGATGATTACACGTAACCCCGAGCTTAAGCTAGCACGTGGGCCCGTATATGCTTGCGATTATTTAGATCCGAGGCTCCTTCGAGATCCTCTTCTCTCTTTAGCTTTGAATCGTCGAAATAGAGACAGTCTAACTACGCTTTCCAAGCCCTAGATCTTATACTCGTAATATAATTCAAAGCTCTCCTACTTTCTAATCCTATAGAGGATTTAAATAATATCTACCCGATCGGTTTTTAACGAGTACAGATATAATATACTATAGCTACTTCCGTATTAGTTAACTAATATTAGAATGAAAGAAAGCCCTGAACTGGTCAGGCAAGCGAATAGGCTAGTAATTCTACTACTAAAGAAGATATAAGAAAGCAAGTCCCGGAATAACTAGATAAGTGAGAAGAAGCTATAGTATAAGACGCTACTCGTATACTACTAGAAGGTAAACTAGAGCCTCTTATTGAGTCTCCTAAGGAGTCCGAGTATCCGGTTAATACTTATAATAAGAGAGATATTCTTTTTTAGAGAATAGAAAAAAAAGAGGAACCCGCTCTATTAAAAGCAAAGTTCTAAAAGTTATTCCGGAATCCCGAAGTTTTATATAAAAAGGTTATTAAACTAATTCTAAAAACGCGCAATATTCTTGCCTATAGCGAGAATTATTATAATTAGCTAAGAGAAACTAAATAAGCCTTATAAAAGAATAAAGCTATTATTAAAAGGCTTATTATATAGCCTACTAGAATAACCGGTTTTTCTGTCTCAGAAAATAGATATTTAATTAAACTCTCTAACTCTTCTATTTTTAAAGATATAACTAAAAATAGTATTACCTTTAATAATTAGTTAATTTAGATTAAGAACAAGCTCTATAGTAACTCTAATATTTACTAGATAGAAAACCTTAAAATTATTTATGTATCCGGCTATATAAGTAGCTATATCCTTATACTAATCTTTTTTAACCTGAATTAAAATAGTTAATATATATATAAAACTATTAGAGAACTATATATCTATCTAGAAAAGCTATATAATAACCCGAATAAGAAATATAATACTCGGTAAGTATTTAAGGAATTATTTATAAAAAAGAATTAGATTTTCTAGCAGTTCTATATTCTATTCCTGAAATATATAATAGATAGAAATATTAATTTATAAAACCTTAAGAATAACCTAAATAATAAGCTTATCTAGAAGCTCTAAGAAACTATAGCTATATACTATAATAATCCTGCTATTTATATTATAAAGTTCATATAATATTATATTATAAATAACTAGTAAATTCGAGTTTATTATAAATAAAAAAACCAGGTAGTTAAGAAAGCTAGTAAAAATATAAATAAGCCAAGTTCCGGAAATACTTCTTATATAAAGCCCGCTTCTAAAACTCTAGTAGTAAATAAGTTAATTATTCTAAAACCCGGATCTTCTAATTTCAAGTATTATAATTATAATTAATTTAGTTATATATCTAGTAACTATCTAGAGTTTAAAACAGAATATATAAAGCAAGTCTTAATAACTAAGCTAGCGGTACTTATTATAAATAAGCCGTCTAAGAATATAGAATAGAGAAACGAGAACTCCTAAAAGAAGTTTCCTTTTTAGAGCCATATTATATTAATATAATAGAAGTTAATTTGAGCTAATTACTATAAAATAAAGTATTTATATTCCCTTATATAATTAATAATAATAAATTAAGTATTAAGATTTTTTTTATTAATATTAAAATAAATAAATATACTTTTATTAATTCCAAGTTTATAAAAATAATTAAATAATTTCTAGATATTAAGCTTATTTAATTAATATTATTCTATAATATAAAAGAATTTAATAATAAATAAGCCATATCTATTATTTATTATATTAAGCTTATATTCTTAATTAATAAATAAAAGATTCTAGTATTTATATTAGTTATAGAACTAGGTAAATATAATATAATTTTGAGATAATAGTAATTTATAAATACTAGTATCCTAATATTGCATAGCAACTGCAGGCTAGTTACTCACGTGACTACACATACTGTATTTAGCTCTGGCCATCCGTACCACACCTCTCTTCCTTTGAGAATCTGATTATATTATAATACAACCGCATTTAATATAATACCTAATTAATTATAAGAATAAAAGATTAATTTAGCTAGATAATTAGCCTAGAAAGCAGAATTAAAATAAGGTTCTAATTATTATATATAAGAATTTGAAATCTGGGAAAAGTAACTAATATTAAGAAAATATAAATAAAAGAAATAAAGCTATAGCTATAAATAAGTTCTAGAGATCTTAGATTATAAAAAGGAAATTCCTTTATTCTTTTCCTAAACTAGGCTTAGAAAGCCGTATATAGTAAAAGAATTAAGCTTGATTTTATAAAGAAATATAAGTAGCCTTAAAAAATATAAAAGTTTTTTTAAGCTAGAAATAGAAATATTAAAATTATATTATTTAAAGAAAAGTTACAAGATTTAGTTAAGGCTTGTAATTAATATTATAGATATCTTACTAGCCGCTTTCTAGATAAACCTATAGAAAAATAAAACCCTTTTTTTATAATATTATTTTTCGAGATTAATAAAAAGCTAGAATTATAGTAAAAAAACAAATTTATTTCGGGTAAGTAATAGCTAGAAGAAACGGAACTATAGTAGCTAATAAGAGTCTTATTAGAAAAGCTTAAGAATTTTATAAATATCTTTTTAAAAAAAAGTATTAAATATCTTATTTCTATATTAATTATATAATTACAAGATTTAGATTAATAATTTTAAAGGCCCGGAAAGCCTAGAGTATTTCTTGTTTTATTAATAGTTAATTTATAAGCTATAAGAAATCAAGTATTTCCTTAAAAAGAATTTCTAATAGGGCTTTATTAAGCTAAACTAGTTTTCTTTTATATCCCTAATTCTTTTTATAAAAAAGACTAATAAAGCTTTCTAATTCTATATTAATTATTATAAGCTAAATAACTTAATATAAAACAATTATTATTCTTTTTCTCTTATTTATAAGACTCTTATATAGCTAGCTTAAGCCAAGATCTATATAAAGCTAGATATTTAATAAGTATTTTATTAGATTTAAATAAATCTAGAATTAAAAGAACTTATAATATTTCATATAAGATATAGAACTTATAAATATAAAGTTCTTTAGAAAAGCCTAACTAATAGCCCTATTATATATTAGAAATATATAAATAA